TATTGAAGGAAGCAATTAGTTTTGAAGAACTGCACTCTTTTCTCGCACCAGGATACGCTGATTGAGAGTCTGAACCCATAACTCCTCCTGATTCCAGTCAGCAAGAGTCTTTTGCAACCCATGCTTGTCGTAAGAGGTGACTAACGGGATCGGGTGGTCAGGCTTGCTGGCTTGGTTGATGCATGTCATCTTATCCCAGTTGCGTAGATCATGATGTCAATCACTGGATTGTTAGGTCCAGATTTGATTATTTGGGACCGTAATATAGCTGGAATATTGCTGAGTGCGGCTTTAAACAACATGCAAGCTCTCTCTCTCCCTCTATCCCTCATATACATATGTCAGTCGACTTTCCGGTTCTGTTCGCAATGGGATGATTAAGTTTTGATTTTTTACCAAGTCACGTAAACCACTTGTCATCGCTGTTTTTCTTTAAACCACAGAGAGAGACCATATATTACATACTGGACACATGCAGTGTATATCACAGTGACATCTTTGTTTCGACATTCCCCACTCCAACTCCAAACAGAAATATTCTGAAGTAAGAGGATTATGATCTTGAGTAGTATAGAGGCCTCTATACTACTAACCCGGGTTCGATTCCTCATATGGGTACAATGTGTGAAGCCCATTTCTGGTGTTCCCCACCGTGATATCGCTGGAATATTGCTAAAAGCAGCGTAAAACCATACTCACTCACTCACTCACTCAGTCAGCAATATAACTCTTGTACCGCGGGTTTCCCCAAAGCGTTAACCTGCGCCAGTTTCGAATATATTTCTAAGCGGCTGTACATCAAAATCTCCTCAGTCTCTAATATTTCTCTGTGAAAGTAGTTGTACTACTAATCTAATAGCCTAGACCCGTGAGGATCCGGGTTAGAATTGGTCTTCAGCAGCCCATGCTTGTCTAAGAGGCGACTAACGGATTCGGCTGGACAGGCCCGCTGACTTGTTTGACACATGTCATCGTATCCCAACTGCATAGATCAATGTTCATGCTGATGGTCACTGGATTGTCTGGTCCAGACTTGAGTATTTACAGACCACCGCCATATAGCTGGAATATTGCTGAGTGCGGCGTTAAACTAAAAAAACCACAAACCAACAACCTATGCTTTTCGTGAGGCATGATTAATGGCTGACAGCCTCTGTGACTTGGTTTGTTTCATGTTTAAGTAACACTTCAGTTACATGGCGGTAGTCTGTAAATAATCTGATATAGGTCAGACAGTTCGGTGGGTAACCTATGCAAACATATGCATCAACAAAAATATGCATCGACCTATGCACAATTGCACATATTATACAGTACAACCAGAAATTATTGAGAATTTACAGATTGTAATTTTTAAAATTGTTTTCACTCATTGCTCACGTATTAAATGTGCATATTAGCAGAACATAACTCCAGATTCAAAGACAGGTGAACAGTTAGTATTTTGTCAAGTCACCATGGGCAGCAATGCAGGCTTCAATGAGGCGGGGCATACTACTGATCAAAGAAGTTAGAAAGTCGTGGTCCATGCTGTCCCAATATCGGACCACCTCTTCTTTCATTTCAGCAATATTTGTCAGATTTTTCTTATTGACACTTTCCTTCATAAGTCCCCAAACATTTTCTATTTGATTTAGGTCAGGGCTATAGCTTTGGCCAATCTAATAATGTCATATTTTGGGTCCGAAACCAGGCCTGTGAATGCTTTGAACGATGTTTTGGGTCGTTGTCCTGCTGGAAAATCCAAAATTTCCATAGAACACGTGAGCAGATGGAAGTAAATGTCCCTCGAGAATATCTGTGTACCGCTCACTGTTCATATTCCCTTCCATACACAGAGGGGCGTTGCCCCTAACACAGATATGCCACCCCACACGTTAAATTTCGGACTGTACTTTGGGCGCTGATACAAAGGTTTTTCAGTTTGTTTGGTCCAGAATTTCAGTGTATTAGGAAACAGCCACACAGAACTTTCATCTGAGAAAATCACATTGTCCCAGTTAAAATTTCTATGCTGTAAGCACCAGTTCAACCTTCGCTCCTTTTGTTCAGGTTTCATGATCGGTGATGGAATTCCTCGACTTTTCTGCCAACCCATTGCATGCAGCTCAGTTCTAATTGTCTCTCCTTACAGACAGCCACAGTTCCTCTATCAATCATATCCAGCCTTAAGTTTTCTAAACTCCTTCGTTTCTTTTTAGAAACAAGAATACCAAGTCGCCTCCCGTCACCGACAGTCAATTTTCTGGGCCTACCTGCGCCTCCCTGGTGCTCAATGCCATATCCATTTGCAATATTTTTCAAAACACGATAAACAGTGGACAAAGGATGCCTGTTCTACTTGAAATCACTTTAGCTGATCTGATGTCCTTGTTATAATACTCTAAAATCAACTTCTCTTCTCTAAATCATCCATACTGAGGATCACTGAAAATGTCGTCTGCTAGCAAGTAAACAAAGGGGGATAACTCTTCACCAACTAATGAAAACGGATTAACGGAGTTGTCTCTCTTGAATGAAACCAAGCACTTGATAGCTGGTCAAGGTTGTTTATACTAGAAATCCAATTAAACATATTCCTAAAATTCTCAATAATTTCTGGTCATACTATATAAGACACGATGATATGCGTCAACCAGCCAGTCTGACCACCAAAATCCGTTTATGGTCTCTTCCGACAAACTTGGTTTGCTCGAGTGAGTGAGATGGATTTTACATCGCTTTTAGCAATATTCCAGCAATATCACAGCGGGGGATACCAGAAATGGGCTTCACACATTGTACCCATGTGGGAAATCGAACCCGGGTCTTTGGCGTGATAAGCGAACGCTTTAACCACTAGGCTACCCCACCACCCCTTTGAGTGAGTATGGTTTAAGGATGCATTTAGCAACATTCGAGAAATATCACAGCAGGGGACACCAGACATGGACTTCACACATTGCATCCATGTGGGGAATCGAACCTAGGTCTTCAGCGTGACGAGCAGCGTTTTAACCACTAGGCTACCTAACCACCCCTCATATAACTTGATTAGTGTTGTTAAAGTGAGTGAGTGAGTGAGTTTAGTTTTACACGAACGTTACACATTAGGTCTAATGTGTGTTTGTTTTTCTTTGGTTTTTTGTATTGTTTCTGCAGGTGTGTAAGCAATAAATTTATAAAAGATGTGTCCAGGTATTTCTTCTTGTCAAAACTCGGCACAAGCTCTGTCGCCATTCAACGGCTCTTCAGGTGTACAATGTAAAATGTTGAACCCTAGAACGTGGTGCATAAGTGTACTGATATTCATGCGAGGGCGGAGAGTATCCCACTAGTGGTTTAAGTACACAACACACAATTCGGGTCATGCGTTTAACGACACCTTCACCCAAATCCAATTTAAGGATTTACCGTTTAATCCATCCACAGATAGTGTAAAGATTCTGTGGTCCATATTTACTTTGCTGGTAGCTAATCCCAATTAATTAACTTAAAAAATCATTAAAAAAGGGAGAAAGATTTCCATTTCAGAAAGGTAACTTGATGCACTCAGTCGAGATTCCAACTCCACAGCGGCTTATGGGACAACAGATTGATTGACAGCATGTGTACGTTGTTATTGTAAACAATGTAATTACACCTAATCTCACTCACTCATTCAGCACGAATAAACGCGCAATGTGCTTAATGAAATAAGAACAGAAAGAAATCCCATATAAACGTAAAATGTAACAGTACAGTGATTTGTCACCAGTCTGTCAGAAGGGGAAACTGGATACATATATCAAGACACCAAGCTGTCAGGTCACGTGACCTCACACGGCCGGTGAAGACATGTGACCCTACTCTCATGTAATATGTAGTGACGGGCGAGATAATGTGATGCAATATCTAGGTATTAGTCCTCACCAAAATATTGTTATCGAGATGAGCTTCTGTTACTGGTGGAATTTAAACAGGAAATAAGCAGATTAGTGTTTTTAAATAAAGATATACTTACATTAAGCCAGTGAATCTATATAAGCTTCATGTTGATCCCCGGCTATGAGACATTTTAGTCAGTATGTGTGTGTGTGTGTGTGTGTGTGTGTGTGTGTGTGTGTTTAGTTTTATGCCGCTTTTAGCAATATTCCAGCAATATCACGGCGTGGCACACCAGAAATAGGCTTCACACATTGTACCCATGTGGGGAATCGAACCCGGGTCTTCGGCGTGATGAGCGAACGCTTTAACCACTAGGCTACCCCACCGCCCCTTTCGTTTTAAGAAGAACTTCGAACGTCAGGTTTTCTAGAAAAAAAATATTATGAATTCTTAAGTTGCTGGTGGAAGTTTTTCTGACTATCATACATATTATTTGATATAATTCACACTTACTGACTTCCCTTCCAAATAACTGTAATTATAATCACTTAAACGGTGAATTTATCAAAGTTTCAGTGTCAGGAGATCCTGTCCAGATAATGATATCCATATAAGTGATCGGTATAAAACGGAGACACTGATTTTTGTTTGTATTTAGGGTAGGGACCAACTTATCTGCTTATCTGCATATTAAACTTGACAGATAAACAAAGTATTGTGTTGAAACACTTCATAAAACATGCTAAAGAGTGCCCATGTGTCCAATCTAGACTCTCATAAATATATTATTATAACTTGGAGCACAAAGATTTCTACTGACAAATATTTTAGAAAGGGAAATTTTAAAAATCAAATCGTCGGTACCAGAAGACTAAAAATATTACCACAAACCTTGCTTTAAACAAATTACGTCAGTATTCTCTAATGATGGATTGGATACTGTAAAAAGCAGATTACTGTCACATTTAATGATAATTCAATGTAAAATTCGTTGTACGTGTGTGAATGATCATATTTTAGGAAAAATCCTTAAATCTTTAAGTAACTTTTCTGTGAAACAGACCAAACAAGTTATCACAGCGCGCACCTGCAAATCAATGTAATGAGCATGTGCGACAATCTGTGTACCCAGGATGCATTGCGTCTATACGAGCACATGAGCCTCCATATTTGTTTACGATGTTAGATCGCCTCGTTATTTTTCAGTGTGTATAGCTCTCGAATAAGCATTTTTAGAATTTTCTCGTCATGCGAAAGAGAAGAGATTGGAACACTACATGAACCGAAAATAATTAATTTCTAAGAGACCTTAGTCAATATATTAAGGCCAGACCACGAAGTGTTCAGCTGCCTAAGTTGGGTTGTTTACAACGTCAGACCTCAAGTCGAGCTCAGGAATCGGGACGATATTTACGGACCCATATAATTAAACAGGGTCTGGACAAGGTTTGATTATATTCAAACTGATTACACCTTCAGGCGCATTGACTTATTACAGCAATGGGGAATAGCAGTTCAGCGAAAAATCGCCATGCATCTGGAGACGATACCGCTCCGACTCTCACTGCTGGACGACTTGGGGACTCGGCGATCTTGGACGATGGAGAAATGTTTCCAGGCAACATAGGGACCTACCAGTCAAGACCTCAGGTATAAATTTTGTTCCCATATCAATCATCAGCAATGCGATCAATCAGCTGTCAACCTCGTTCTTGTTGACTGTTGCATATCTTTATTGTACACGTTTTCATATTTGGATCTTGAAAAATCAACATTTTTCATGTTTTTCAACACGAATGATATTTTCTAATATGTCTACTTTATTATATGAATAGTACTTCACCGGAGCAGATGTGATGAGAGAATGAATATGTAAATAACAATCCTATAGTGAAAGTCCATGGCAGTAGAACGACATGTGCTTGACCTCCAGGGGTCAAGGGCGCTCGAGACCTGCACTTGTTATTTGAATGCTTATGCACAGAATAATTAGCCTAAGTTATTGACATCACTGAAACAAAACACAAACTATTTTTTTACACTACACCATTGTGTAAAGATGGAAGAGGTGCCTATGATTTATGAAGAAGAAAAGGATGAAAGCTTAGATATCCTAGTGAAGGATTTTGTCGACAACAGAGACCATGCCCAATACGTTGACCTTGATCATGATGACTATGGCTCGGCCGTTCATGTTGTGAGTTAGATGATACAGGACATAAGTACACATTACCTGCCAATTTTTATGCATTCACTTGCTAATCACTAAATTACTTTTTAATGGTATCCATGGTATCTATATGTATTCAAAACATCTCTTATGGTATATGGCCCAAAGTTGTTTTGCATAGGCCATCTTTGTAATGTTGATTTCCACACAGGTTCTGTCCTACCTGGAATTTTAGGACAACTGAAGGGGGGTAGTTGACAAAAAGTTTATAGAACTGTCAACATATGATGTATTTGTCAACAGTCTTCAAGTCAGAAGATATAAAAATAACAAGCATTACTGTAGTATGTTGTCTTTGCCCTAAATAGAAAAATAGTCTAAATGTGCCAATTCAGCATGTTCAGTTCAAAATGTTTTGATTTTTGTTTTTAACATTACTGAAATGAGCATGTTTTGAGGCAAGTTGTGTTTGTATTTGTTAAGAGGTGGTAATGTATCATGTTTATGATGTCAGTTTGTTACGTGAACTTCTAGATGTATTTATATAATCATGTTTCTTTGTTGTTGATGTTCAACATGATGTAGTGTTTGAGTTGACTTGCTCTAATGTTGTGACATCACTATTACATGATATGGAAATAGATGGTGCAACAAGGTGGCTCATCAGGAAGAGGAACAGCCAGTCATGGGCTGTCTGGGCCCGAGATCACGTTGCATAGTATGAAAGTTATCAAATCAAGCTTGACTTTTCTCTCTGTCCAAATTTACAAAGTACCAAAAACTGCAAATTAATTGAAATTAATTTAATCATGAAGTTGCCACTTCTTCTTTAAAACACTGTTCTATTTCTGAAAATGTTCAATTAACCAAGAAAATTGCAGTTCACAAAACCATAATGTAAATGGAACTACATGGATGATCTTCTGGAAGACCAAACCACTGGCACTTTTGTTTATAGCCTTAGCTGTAAGTATTATATATTTTTCAAATTTGAAATTGTGGAAATTTTTTATTAATGTTTGTGTGCACCATTTGTACAAGAAGAGTCATTTCTCCATTATATTGCTTCTTGCAAATATCTGCCCAAAGTTACATTTGATGGCAGTACATGAAATGACTGGGGTTGGTATAAATTTAGGTCAAAGCTATTGATAATCATTAAGTAAATATCGTATATCAACATAGGTGAAGTAACTGAGCTAAAGTGCAAAAAAAAATGTCCAAAACAAATTGATGTACTTCACACAACAAGTGAACGTTTACACATTTTTGGATGGATACTGAGCAAAAACAGTTTCTAAACGTAATGTAGAATAGGCCCTTGATTGAGATGTAATGTAATCAGTTTTGTTAATATTCTTGAATCATAACAAGTAATTGCATGTAAGGCCTTGCAGTAGCCCTAAGGGACAACACCTGGGCTGAGCTGTACCATCCCTCCAATCACAGAATGTTATGTGTGGTTGTTTAATTACATACTGACACAAAGCTATGAAAACAAAATCACATCTTGTTTTCCTGACTCTGACAAGTGATATTTGCTGAATGAGCTGTAAATGTTTGACAGAATTGAGATGTAGCCAGGTATTTCATTGCTTCTGTTCATTTGGACTAGAAGCATAGACCAACTACTAATTTATGGAATGAACATATTTTACAGAAAAATGTACAGTTCATAAATTATAATAAAAAATATAATGAAAAGGAGAGCAGAGACTTTCTTCATTTTCAGAAATTGAAACTGGTAATCGAGACTTGCCACATATTCTAGACTTGCATGGGCTTTCTTGGATATATTTGTTTCAAGGTCTGTATGACAGACTACTCTGAAGCAATGCATGGCTTTTTTCTCATATTCCCAGAGAAAATGATGTTATAGTTGTTTTCACTGTCTACTCAATCTCTATGTAGGACTAGAGTCTTTTTTATTAATAACAAATCTCACATTTTTTCTTAGACCTTAATACATTCTCTCAGACACCTTTTACCAGAAATGATTCACTGGATATTTGACCACTTGAAGTAGAGACATGTATATTAACCATGACCTATATTTGTTTATGAAAATCGATGAACATTTTTTAAACTGTGAGGTGTTTTGTGTGTGTTTTCAGAGATTATATCTGATATCAGTACCCTTTCATGTACACACACATTGTTTTGTTTGCCCAACGTCAAGCCATGAATTAAATCATCAATAATTCTGAGGTAAAACACCATGTGGCTAACTTTGACATTTGGTGATAGTATTACTGCCTGTACAGCATGAAAATCTAATAAAAATAGAAATTGTCAATGACTGATGATTCTCAGACTATCATACTTTAGCTGGAGTAATATGAAATTATCAGATTTCTTTAACTCCTTTTGAGAAGTAAATAGCAATATCCTGCTGTTGCTTAATCAGATTTGTTGCCCCTTCTCGCCTTAAATGGGTGGCGGGGTAGCCTTGTGGTTACAGTGTTCGCTCGTTACGCTGAAGACCCGGTTCGACAATGATGGGTACAATGTGTGAAGCCCATTTCTAAAACAAAAGCAGCGTAAAACTCACCCACTCTCACCTTAAATCATAAATGGGATTGACATTTATGTCGGAACATTGTGCAGATTGTCATATTGAACGCAAAGTAACATGACTGATTGATTGAAGTTAAGTAAAATATTTAGAAGATAATTATGCTGTACACATTAATCAAATTGACAAATCTGTATGTTAGTTATTACTTAGTGAGAGTTCATTTTGTCATGTTTGTCAGTTTTTACAGAATTCATTACTCTTTCCTCAAAAGTGAGTGAGTGAGTTTAGTTTTACGCCACACTCAGCAATATTCCAGCTATATGGCGCGGTCTGTAAATAATCGAAGTCTGGACCAGACAATCCAGTGATCAACAGCATGAACATCGATCTGCGAAATTGGGAACCGATGACATGTGTCAACCAAGTCAGCGAGCCTGACCATCCCATCCCGTTAGTCGCCTCTTACGACAAGCATAGTCGCCTTTTGTGGCAAGCATGGGTTGCTGAAGACCAATTCTACCCTAGATCTTCACGGGTCCTTTCCTCAAAAGAAGCAGTCGTGACACTATTATTTACCATCATAACACTTTTGAAAAAGAAATTTGTAAGCTTTTGTCAGCATTATTTTTTGTTTGGAGAGGATACACTCTTAATGTCAAACAGAAGTTTGTTGGCTTCATGAAAACAAATTTTACAGTTCAATGAAGTTAATTACTTTATGTACAACTAAAGCCATTACCACCTCATCTTATAAAAGCTCACAATTGGCTTCCTTAGAACTGTTCTAGTGAGACACTTGTCTTAATGATATGAACATGTTATTTCTTACAGGTTAGATCTATGATCTCAGTTTTATCTTATCGTGCATGTTGACCTACAACCATGTTGGTCATGTGTAGGAGGCATAACACTATATTTATCATGACATTCATTTAGGCATATTTTTAAGCTCTATTTCTATTTTTATTTCTATTTTAAGCTTTTTGTGTGACTATTTTCAGGACAACTTCTCTTTTAGAATGAGAATAAGAAATGCAAAAGAAATATGAATTGTTATCAATATCAGAACAGGTTTTATATGCTTCCTGTTAAACCATCAATACTCTCATCTTGTCAGTGTCATGTAAACGTAGCGGAACCTTAATTTTGTAGCATTTGTAATCTTCTAGAAAATTGCCGAATGTATCGTGCATAGTGGAAGTGTTGCTAATATCCATTCTGTGCCAAAAACCTTTGAGTCTACTGGCCCTTTACTTTCATTTTGCTCAGATTATGGGACAGCCTACCTGAACACACGGAATTACAGTTGCTAGCTTTAGACTAGTCGCTACAGTAGAAGGCCGAATATCCAATAACGTTTTCATCATTGTTTAATTTTAGAATATCTGTAAATTAACAAGTTTGAAGTGGTACAGGGATTTCTGTATTTTATGGGATGACTCGCTTACAGAAATCTGTTTCAAAATGTTTATGACAGGAAAACTCTCTCAATTTACAGCAAGGTGCTATGGTTGAACAGTTCCGACCCATAAACATGTTTTGAACAAACTGAATCGACACCACAGCTAGCAGAAACATGATCTTTGTAAACAGTCTGTTTTACTACCATTGCTGTACATCAACTGCAAGAGTGTTTAGTAATTTTTCAGGAAATATTCTTCTCAGCTTGTTAATATTTTTTAAATGTTATTAAGCATGTCTGAAGTAGATCCTTGGAATAACATGCCCAAACAGTTTCAGACCTAAACATGTTACATTCTGTCAATAAGAAAATAACACATAATAACAGGAAATGTCCCGAAACCCAGTCCTTCCCGTTATTACGAGAACATCATTTCATGAGTACTTTGTTGGTTCTTTAACAACACGACCCGTGAAGATCCGGGGTAGATAAGTCTTCAGCAACCCATGCTTGCCACAAGAGGCGACTAACGGGATCGGGTGGTCAGGTTCGCTGGCTTG